AATAAATATATCAAAAGAAAAATTATTTAAAAAAAATTATCAATTATGTTATAATAATAATAATAATAATTATTTATTTCAACGTCAAATTAATTTACAATATAGACAAAATAAACGAAAAATTCTATATGAACATATTCAAAAAGAAAATTTAAAATTTAGTCAAAAATTAATTAATGCAAAAACTTGTCTTAATCGTTATGAACAAAAATTATTTTTTGATAAACATTGTAAACTTAAACAACAATTACAACGTTATCCAGTATCAATACGAATTAAAACAAAAAAAACAAATTTACAATTTTCATCTAATGAAAATTTCAAAATTATTAATAAACCTGTAAATTCATCAGTTTGTATCTATAATAATAATAATAATAATCGATTATCTCATAAATCAATTAAATTACAAGAAAAACATTCAAAAATGAATAATCAAATATTTATTACAAAAAATTCATTATCTAATATAAATAAACCACAAATAATTCAAAAGAAACTTACTCATTCTATAAAAACTAATTCAAAATTTTCAAAAACACTTCTACCTATTACATCAATTATTCAAAATACAAAGTAAGTTACTAATATTACGTTTGACAAGTAAAAAAAATATTCAGTACAGTTTCTCAAGGATCCTCATTTCAAATACAATAAAATTGTTGTAAAGTTAAACACAATACAAAACAAATTTAGATTTCTATCACCATATATTAATTTATTAAAAGCAGAAGAACAATCAATGTCGACTAGAATTATCAGATCAAAAAGTTAAGAGTCAGATATTTGCATTTCAAAAATACGAAATCATCAGAATTGCTTTATTTGAAATTGGAAAGCAATTTCTATTACAGTTAAAATGTCTGATATATATTTTCCTACGAGCATAAAATAGATTTAGTTTGAAATACATTCTTTTGTAGAAGTTTAGAGTTAATTTTATAATTAGACATATTCATCGATGTGTTTTTTGGCGCCAATAGATAAGTCACTGTGAAATGTAATGGCCAAGCAAGGAAAAATAGTTGCTATCGAAATTTTTTGATGATATTTTTGAACTCTCATCATCTATATGAAAAGATCACGTGAGAATTATCGAACGTTAGGGTTTTATTTGACACTTCGGAAACTTTCTTTTGAGAAGATTTGACAATGAAACAAAATTAATATGTGCAGAGTATAAATGAATTCTATCAGTAAAAATCAGATTGCATTGTATCAATTTCACTTTTTTCTTCATCGGGATATTGATTTGATTTATATCTGTCAGATAGAATCATTCTAATTTCTTACTTTAAACAAAATAAATTCATTATATTTCATACTTTCATAAAATCTTCTTGTTTATCAAGACAAACATCGAATGTTACAATTCCTGAAACAAATCTATTGAAAAATGAATCATCATTCACTTCATCTACGGATAATATCATTAATTGGAACATTTCAATTAATACTGAAGATCTCAAACAATAAATATCATCATTAAAAATACAATCTTCTAAAACTATATATTCATCTCAATCTTCATCATCAGAATCAAATTTATCCAATCTGTAAAATCTCAAATGATTTGTTTCTCATACATAAATCATTTATACAAAGCACCAAGATGATCGAAAAAAAAAAAGGAAACAAAGATACGACAGCATAAATATACTATATAGAAAAATAACGCATGAAAAAAAAGAAAAAAAAAAAGAAAATAAAACAATTATTAACAATCAGTTGAATTTCTTATTGTTTTTTGTCGAATATTCATTGATAATGGTTGTCTACGAATTGGTGTTGTACGTCGTTTCCAAATAGGTGATGGACTTCGTCGATTATTATCAGACTTATGATTTAATGATCTTGAATTTGATGTTAATAAAACATTACATGAACGACTTGAAGATAAACGTTGTGAAGAAGAAGATGTCTTTTTTGTTAAACATGATGGTTCAGAATTACGTATACTTGTTATTGTACGATCATATGAATTTTGTCGCCATTCAACTGTTGTTGCTATTGAAGAAATACAATTATTGATTGTCTTAACAAATGTTTGAGCATCTCTATAGGACAGAAAAAAAAATTTCGTTTTTTGTTTTATAAAAAAAAAAAAAAACTTAGTCAATTTTTTACTTATTAGCAAATCGAAAATATGTTTTCAAACGAGTTTTTGAATCTGTTTGAGTTAATTGCCATATAGAAATATTATTATCTTTATTATCATCATTTTCTAATAATTCAACATTAATATCTTCGATTGGAATAAATCGAATAAACCGATCAGATATTATTTTATTTCCTTTATAAATTGATAATAAATCCTAAAGAAAAAAAAAACAACATCGATTTTTAATTATTTGTAATTGAATAAATAAAATTTAAAATTTACTTGTTTTTTCTTATTTGATTGTTCACGTACTATTAAAAGACAACCATTACGAAAAACAAAACAATATGTTTTTAAACGTTGATGATTTTTTCCAAGAAGAAATAAATGCATATTAATCCAATCAATTTCTCCATAAGCATATAAATCAGGTAAATTTAATTGTAAAGTCTAAATAAGAGCATGAAAAATAAAACAAATAATGCGAGAGAAAATCTTTCCAACTTGAAAATCACTTTAAGTTCACACTTTATACATATGAAGTCTGAACTTAAAAGTGATTTTCTTTTGTAAGAAAAATTAATTCAATACTTTATTATGTTCTTCACTATAAGTTTTAGTTATATATTCAAATGATTGTCCAAAATCTTCATAAAGTTGTTGCATACCATTCATATATTCACCAATATTATTCATCATTGTAATAGCTTGTTTTAATTTTAATATTTCAATAGATAATAATTGTTCATTTGAATTAATTTCATTTGAATTTAAATAATTTAACATTTGTTGTATAAGTAATGGATATTTAAGTATACGTTGAACAGGTTTTATTAAATAAGATTCAAATGATAATGAATGTTGATGACGTGGATTACGTGCAGCAAGAAATTCTTTTAAATGTTGATTATTTTGATGAATATCAAGTAAACGATTTATTCTTAAATGCATAGCACAAAATGTTGAATATAATTTAAAATATTGAGAATATGATAGAAATGTATCAGATATTGATACAAGAATATCCTAGAAAAATAATTGAATTTATTTTAAAAAATAATAATAAATATAAGAAGAAAAAAAAATAATAATCATACACGAAATTCATGTGTAGCATTATAAGCAAGTATTTCTGTTGGAATATTTGATTCAAGACGTTTAAGAAATGTTTGTTGTAATTGATGAATTGATTTAACACTAACATATAATGATTCAATTGCATCAGCAGGTAAAAGTTTTGAATCATCACGTAATGGTTCAATATATCGTTCGAGTAAACGTTGCATATCCTGAAAATAAAAAACACTTATTTTTTTTTTAATCTATTCTATAAATATTCTTGAAAACTGACTTTTCCGGATGTCTTATACTTGAAAAATGATATTTGATTGAAATTCTTAGTCAGAGTTATGATAATAAAAATATGTCCATTTTATTTAGAGAGAATTTCATCGAACAGATTTATTAAGATTTATAATGCATTATTGTTCGCATATTTTTTCCTTCATTAGAATTGTTGAACTCATCATGTCTTTCGAATGGATGTGAAGGCTTACTTCATAAGTCAATCCTAATTGATGATGATGTTTCATAAGAAAGCTTTTTCTTGTCACTTCTGTCACGAACATCCTTGATAGAGATGCATTCTTTATGTCAAAATTACTAAGTTACATCATCAAGGATCTGTTTATTTTTTTATGAGAACAAAAAAAGAAAACGACTCGATCAATCGTCATTATATGACGAATACAATTATTGATTCATATATCAAAACTACTAATTTCAATTAAATTATACAAATTTTAATTTTTTATAAAACTATAAAATAATTTTCTATGAATATTTACTTGTACATAAGATCTTTCTGTTTCAACTAATTCAAAAATAACTTTTCGTAATCGTTGTGCATTTGAAAGTACTTTAATACGTGGTGTTGGATTTATTATATTTATTTGTTCTGTATTTGTATTTAATATAGTTGTTGTCGGTCGACAATATCGACTTAATTCATCAACATTTTTAAATAAACGTTCAAGTGCTGATGATGATGATGATGATGATAATTGTTCATTTTCTTTTGTATCATTATTATTAACAGATGGTATAAGTTCATTTGAACAAGATGAATCAGGTTTTGGAACAATAAGTTCACGAAGTTCTTGTCTTGATAATCTTTCAATACGTGGTGGTGGTGGTGGACATATTAAATTTTGAATAATTGTATGTGAAAAATCAAATTTACGATTTGGATCATTAATTGATTCAATTAATCTTTAAATTTATAATAAAAAAAAGGAAAAACAACTCTCAAATTTAATACAATCTTTTCATTGTTTTTTTGACTAACCTTGATGAACGAAGTGTTAACATAATTGGTATTTGATTAAAATATTCATCTAATGTATCAAGACTAAGATCTTGTACAATTGAATTGTTTACAATAACTATTTCATCACCTTCTTTAACTCCTAGACAAAACAAATTTATGATTAAATTTAAATTAAATATTTTCTTTTCCCTTCCTATTCTTACCTAGTCGTTCACTTTCACTTCCTTTTTTAACATTGGATACAATAACTTGTAACGAATATTCACGATATAATTCAGTAATAATTTCAATGCCAGACAGATCAAGTTGATTATTTAATGTTATTTGATATACAATTTTACGTCGTATTTCAATTGATGAATAAGTCTAAGAGAAAAAAAAATAACGAACAAGTGAATAAATAATTATTTTATTTTTATTTAGAATTTAACATACAAGATTATTGAGTTTATCATTTCGATTTGGTACAAATTCATGAGAAGTTTTCGAATGAAAATATAGAAAATGATCATCGATTTGTAGTCCTAATTTTTCAATTACACGTTGTAATAATTCACCAACAGTTGCCATTTCATTAATTGATACAATTGTTCTCTTGAATTAAAACAAAAACATTAATCGACATAGACAATTCAACTTTTTTGTGTAATAGATAATAAAATTTTTCCGAACTATAGATATATTTTTTCGTCCCGGTCACTTTTTTCCTAGTGGTTCTGACTAGTGAGTTGCGGGCTCACATTTTTGTGGACCGGGATTCGGACCCGATCGAGTTCAAACGTGAGGTTTTTTCCATCAATACCTGGTATTCTTCATGTACATGAATAAGTGATGGATCAAGGTTTCAGCTATTTATTCGCTACTCTCAGAAAAAAAACTCAACGTACAGTTATGTATTGTTGCTGGGCTTCTCATTTGGGAAGCAGTGAGTCCACAAAAACGTGCAACCGGATCCAACCATTTATTTTTTGTTGGACTCGAACCCGACAAAACAAAAAAAAAACTTTCGACTTGGCCGGGTTCAGGTCTGGAGGGATCCGCAGCTCTCTAGTTCCGGCTATGGCCTCGGTAAATTTAATCTAGTCTCAGTCTAGAAAACACTATTCCATGGTTTGTTCATATCACATCAAAAACTAAAAATTTTGTAATACTCATTTTTTTGGGTCATCTCTCTTGAATCATGTTCTGATTGATATGATTTATAACATAATTCGCTTAAAACTATAGAAGATTTGACAATAACATTTAGTTCCAGTGTATTTCTTTTGTCGTGGTCTTAGTCCCGCACGTTTTTCTGTTCAGCAAAAAAATCTATTGGTACATCTTTTTTATCATTTGAGTATCTCAAAAGAACTTCGGTATACTTTGAAGCTTAGCTTTTTTTATACATTTTATCTCAATAAGACCTTAAAGATTCATTCCAATTCTTATTCTAACAATGCATGACTGAAATGATTATTCTCAAAAATAAAAATGTAATATAATTTCTTTTATTAAACAAACCATTTGAGGATTTGAATCACATGTAACCATTTGTAAAATAGTTTGATCAGCTACTGTTGGTGATTCAATAGGATCTGTAGAATTTGTTGGTGTATTTAGATAACATTTTGTTTGTTGTTCTTGTTGTTGATCATCTTTAATAATTGTATTAGAATATTTATATTTTGATCTATGACGATCTAATCGTCGTCGTGCAGCAATACATGCATAAAAACTACATGGTGTAAATGTAGCAAGTTTATGTAATGTTGCTTTTGTTGTTGGACATGCTTGTGAAAGTAAATCTTTTGGATTTGGTAAATCTCGATCATTTGTTAATGCACATAAATAACATTTATTACGAAATAAATCAATATGAAATGCTTCTAAATTTTTTTCCCATAAATCAATTTGTTTTGATATAAGTAAACGAACTTTTTGACTTGTTGAAGAATTTAATTGTAATTCACCTAATTTACGCATTTTATTTTCACGTTCAATATTTTCTTCTAAATCTTTTATTATTATTTTTAATAAATCTTCATTTGTTTTTAATGAACAATAATAATGTATATTACGAATCCAATGATTTAATTCGGATTGATTAGATGTCTAATAATGAAATTTATTTTTTTGTTTTCAATGAACAAAAAAAAAACAAAACAAAACAAAGTAATAACATTTTTTCAACAAACCTGAAAACAATATGTATCACCAGTACGAGTTGTTAAACTAAATACATGTTGACGATGAGGATGTTCAGGTAATGGATAACAAAGACTTTCAATAATGTCTAGAAGAATAAAAAAAAAGATATATAAAATACAATAGAAATGTTTATTTTGTATCTTATCTCTTGTTCTCGCAATCATTCAGTCTATAGGTTACTAATCTGTGATTAGTCGTCCTACCAACATATATTCAATGTGTATATTGTGTCTTATTTCTTCTTGTCTTCTTATTCTTCTTCTATAAATACAATTCTCACTATGATCCAAATTTAAATGACAGCAAACTGAGAATCTTAATTAATAAGAATACACATGTGTAATTCATTTAGATATTGTAAGAAAGGAGAGAATAAAATTTCTTTCATTCTTTCTTTTTCTTTTTTTGCAAAGTCAAAGATAATAGGATTTATTCAAATATTAATTATTTGAAGAATACATTACATTTGGAGGTAGTATTAAAAGTGATCTTGAACAAACGCAAATTCTTTACAAAAGAAGTTATTATACAAAATGTCTCAAAAGGTATGATTACCTAATAAATACAGATAATTTGACTATTGATCAAGCTTAATGAAAACTATTTTTCTAATTGTAATAGAATACTAGTAAGTTTTGATTTGTAAAGATTAAGTTCATCACTAGTGTAGAAAACATAATCCTCCACCCACAATAGAAGACCCTAGATCGTCTATTGTGTCCTATTTATTCTCATAATTTATAATTAAAAGTATTTGTTTAGAAAAACCAAAACGATTTTGAGCGTTTAGGAAGATATTTTTAGGACTTTAAAAGTTCAGAAATAATGCTGATCTTAGTCTTTTCAGATTTGCAGCTCAAAACTCTGAAAATTAGGCATATTTTAATGTAAATATAAGTTGAATTTTTTTTAGAAATTGATCAATTAAATGAAAAGGGGATCTTGTATTACATTCAATGCATCATTCCTTCAAGGAAACCTTCTATTGCGCAAAAGGCTTTAACATTTGCGGTTCCAGTTCAAAAATTAGATTTTTTTTTTCGATGCTACCAATAATATATGACACTGTTTGTCTGATATTTTCTCGAAATTCTATGATTGTTATAGACTTCAGACCATGTAAATTTTTTATTGTAACTTTCTAAACACTTGTTGTAATTATATTTTTATGAAAAGAAAGTAAGAGAGTCAACCTTAATTTCAAAATAAGTTATAAAATGATTGAACAACACATTCATTTTCACGGCTATTAAAATTTTCCAAAAGTCACGAATGATTTTTCTATAAAGAAATGTACTAATCATTTTAAAATATATGAAATCAATGATTAGAACATTATAATAATCAAAGATCTGTATGACATAAAATCTATAATAACGATAGAAACTCAAGTAATTATCATAAAAAGACGATGCACATTGTTCATAGCATTGTAAAAATCTTAATTTTTAAATTGTAACCAAAAGTATTACATTTTCTATACTGTTAATGAAAGTAGTTTTGACGACATTTATCGTCAATTATTAAATATTATGTTGGATAGTCCAAGTAATACTGAATTTTTACTTTCTTAACTATTGGAGAGATCTTCATAGGTAACTTAAGCTATGAAATGCTTAAATAAACATTTGATACGTTAACCTTAAATATATCGTTAAAATTCAAAGGACACCAATTTTAATGAGAGTATCATAATGAAGAAATTCTATGTATGTGAAGCAACATAAAAAAAAACGAATAGAAATTCTTAAGAATCAATTCAATTTTTAAATTTATAAAATAATAATATAAAACATTCATAAAATAAGTATGATTATTTAACATGATAAATCGAATGGTACTCGCTAAAATGCATTCTTTTATCTTTTTCAGATTGATAAAACAATGTGCAAATGAACTAACAATAGTTATCAATAACAAAAAAAAATAGAAAGAAACAAATGTCTAATAAACAATTAATTGAAATAGAAATGACAAAACAAAAAAAGATTTTCATTGAATCTTTTTCATTTTTTTTATCAACAATTTTGAAATATAAACTATTTACAAACTAAAAACAAAAATATTCTTTATTAAATATTTTAAAAAACTTACTTATTGTAATTTTTGGTTTAATATCTGCACAATCATTATATAAATATAAATTTGATCCTTTTAAACATGTCCAATAACGTTTCCATTGACGTTTTGATGCTAATTCAACTTTATGATGACGTTGTACAGTTAACCAATGTTTAACATGAAGCCAACTATTAAAAAAAAAGAAAAGAAATACATAAGCTACTTTAAAATGAAAATAAACTTAACAAATAAAATATATTTACTTAGCTTTTTGTAATCGAAAATTTTCAAAAGTATCTTCAGACAATTGACTATTAAGATTTATTTGTGGAATTGGTGTAGCATCATCATCACCATCATCATCATCATCGTCATCATCAGAATCGGAATCTAAAATCAATAAATTATAACTTGTTCAAAGTTATGACCTTGGCATAAAATGAAAGAGATTATAGACATCATTGTTATTTCTATGAAAAGCTATTTAAAAGTTTCCTTCTCTAATAATACTTTTATGTATCTCCATTTAATGACATGTAAATACCTTGTTGTTTGTCAAGTTGTTGTTGTTGTTGTTGTAGTTGAGAATAATGGAATGAATCACTATAATTGCTAAGTCTCCAACTTGAACCACTATCACGTCCAATGCCACTATCTGTACGTTCAGATTCATTAAAACTTGTTCGATTTATATCATAATTATTATCATTTATTGTTTGATGATGAATATTTTTTATTGTCATTTGATCAGATATGATTACATCATTATCATCATTATCAATAGTACGATTGTCTATAGATTCAATCGATGAAGTATTTTGAATAGATAACGATGATGGAAGTGATATTGTTGCTTGTTGTCGTTTAAGTTTACTAATATTTCGTCTTATAACAACAATTTGTTCTTCATCTTGTTTTTCATTATCAGAAAAAATTAAATCAGCAGTTGGTAAATGACATTTTTCATCATCTGTATTACTTTCATTACTGCTACTGCTATTCATAAACATACCACCGGACATCACCGTTTTGGTTACTTTCGACGATTTCTTCATTCATCCGTTCATGATATATCTGGAAAAAAAAAGAAAAAGACGAGGAAGAAGAAAAAAGAAGAAGAAGAAGAAGAACAATAGCTACAACAAGGTGACCGCGATTGCTATTGCTTCTCTCCATTCAATGGAAGAAGGTAGACGGAAGGAAGACGAGGAAAGAGAAAGAGAGAGACAGAGAGAAGAAGAAGAACGTCCGTGCGCGTCTGTCGTTCCTTTGTTGTATTCGACATCTAATATGCTTTGATTTCAGGTTTATTTGCATCTGTTCTCACACATATCAAATAGACGGTGGCATTGTAGATGCAACTATATATAGTAGTGACTTGCTATTCTGATTATGATTATGATTATTTTTATTTTTATTAGTTGTTGTTGATCGTGGTTGGCATTTGTTGTATAGAAATCTATATTTGTGTCTCTCTGTCTCTGATTTCATAATAGTATTACGAAGAAAAAGTGAGGAAGTCGATGGGTGGTAACATGATAATAATGTTCAGTTATATTCGTCTTTATTTTTCTTTTTCTTTTGTTGCCTAGTGGATGACAAGTGAAAAGAATAAACAAGAAGAAGAAGAAGAAGAAAACACTATACCTTCATTTTTTCTTCGCTTTCCTGTCTAAATCTCTATTTGACAATAACGAAAAAGTGATAGTGAAAATGATCGAAGGGCAATACATATACATACATACATACATAAAATAGATGCCCTTGCATAACACTCGGTTAGAAATGTCAATATGATGACCCGATCGTGATCATTTACTTTTCGCTTGACATCGTCAAGTGGCTATTACTTACTCCTCTCTTCGTTTTGCTCTTTTTTTTTTCACCATCATCATCATCATCATCATGGATGTGTTATGTTGATATTGAAATCCATCTGCTTTTATATTACAGATTACGGCCTTGTTTCTTCAACAGGAAAGTGCAAGAAATAATAACGAAACTAATCATACTAGGAATACTCAAAAGGTTGTCAGTAATTTGATTTTCAGTAATTAACGAAACTTTCTATGTTTAAAATATTTCATTGAAATAAACTAGTTAATTACTAAAATGTTACTAAAAGTCATAAAAAAAAACACAATAGTAATGATAATATAACAGAAGAAAAGCAAAAAACTGTGTTAATTGATCGATGTCATATACGCACGCCATGTGTTAGTCTAAATGTTCGTTAATCTTTGTCAACGAGAGTCGCCGGTCGATGTTGAGAAGACCATATTTGTCACATCAAATTGAATAGAAAAGATCGGAAGATGAAGGCAGAAAAAAAACGACGGAGAACATAAAGAGAAAAACGATTGTAACATGGCACAATGCCAATAACTAAAGAAATGAAAAGATTCACCCGGTAACAAACATATCAGTTGTCATACTTATTCTATAAGTTATATACAAATATGTTATTACATATTCTATAAGTATTTGTGACTTTGATTTTATACATAAAAAAAAAGGACCTACCACAATATTTATTGCTTCCGGACGAAAAAAAAACTAACATTTTTTGAGAACGATGTTGTCGAGATCGTTCGTTGATCGCATTGCTACGACATCGATAATGGCAAAAAAAAATGTAACAATGCCTTAGAAACGTTGAGCAAGCCCATGTCAAAACTAATTTGTTCGTTCGATTGATTCAATTATGGAAGCCCTGAAACGATCGGCCGTTTTGTTAACAGAATGAATAAAAAAAGGTTCTTTTTCCAATGTCTAAAATTGATTCATTGTTATAAAGATCGAGCTTTTCTTTGCTGATATCTATTCACGTATTAAAATGCGTATGATGTCCTTGATACATTACATACACACATTAAGCACGTAGTACATGCATACGAGTGCAATAATGGATATCCATTGAATCTAGATGATGGAAATGTCTTGCTTATGGAATCGAATGAACATTAACAACAACAATAACAACAACAGAAGAAATAGTAGAAAAGAACACCCGGCGAGAAAGTTACTGCGTTTTACTGTTGCTGCTGTTACTCTCGTTAATGCTCACAAGGATTCACATTAATTTGTCACTCGAAATAATCACATTGTTGAGAGCTTACATGTGCTCTTGTCTGTGTGCTAAATGTGCACGAGTGAATTAACGTAGACATCTTTCTTTCTTTCTTTTTTTTTTCCTATCCAATCAAAGTACATTGTCTTTGATGATCAAAGAATTAATCCCCAAGTCAATAGATATACTAGCGAAAAAAAAAAGTGTAAGGACACTAGAACCAACAATTATCAATGACGTAATGATTTTGTTTTGTTTTTTTTGTCTTATATTCTTAACTTTTTTTTCTTTTTTAAGTTAGAATATTTTCTTTTGTTTTACTGCGTTACATTCGCGTGAAACAAAAAAAAACAAATAGACTTCCATAAACACAAAGAAAAACAAAAAAAAAAGGAAAACCTGGTGAGCATACAAGATAAACGTCGTTCATCTATTTAAATCACACACACAAACAAACAAACATTGAATATACAACAAAAAAACCCAGAACAAAAACTGATTCTTCTTCCCATCTTTTGTTTTTTTTTTATTCCCACAACTCGCATAATTCTATCAGCATATATATATATATATATGTGTGTGTGTCTATACGAGAAGGCAGAAATTGAGTATAGATATAAGAAGAATCAAAAAAAAAAAAGAGGAAAAAAACCAACATAAGCCAGAAGAAGAAGAAGATTATGAGAAACTATACAAAATAAAGAAGCATCACATCGAATACTGACTACAATAGTACACAAGAACACTGTGTGTATGTATGTAGATAAGAAAAAAAAAAGATTTGAGATGGAGACTGAACAGAAAAAGAAAGAAAGAAAAAAAAACAATTGAAATAACAAAACAAGAAAAAAAAATGATACAGAACTATTGAACTGTACTCGTTATGACAATTAACAAATAAATTTGTTCAATTTTATTTTGAACAACACAACGATAAGTATCCGGTGCACGTTTTTGTAAGATTTCAGATGCAAATTGACATGGTGGAAATATATGTACAACATAAGCTGGTTGTGATGCACCGGGCAATAAAACATTGACAATTCCGGCTGCTTTTTTTTCATCAAAATATCGTATAACACCATTTTTTAAATTATTTTGTTGTATACGTATTTCATCTGGTGTTGAACCATTTGGTTCAGCTATTAATATACAATGATCATTATCCATTTGCATACGTTTTTGTACACCTTCAAGTTGTGCTTGCTCTAAACGCATACGTTGTGATATACGTAAATTATGATGTGAAGGTGTTTGTAAATTTGATGTTGATGTTGTTAATGAATCTGAATTCCAATAATTCATTGATGCACGTGCTATTTGTGGACTACCAGCAACAAGTTGAGTTTTAACATATGCTTGATCATTTTTTAATATTAAATTTCCTTGCCATTGAACATTATATGGATCACGTGATAATTCATTTGTTGGTGGATTTAAACGAAAATATGATTCTGGATTTGGATATAATTCAGCAGCAGCAAATGGATGATGACTACTAGTCATACCAATAACATTGAGCATTTGTTGAGCTGCAGCATATGCCATATTTTGTGATGAATAAAGACTTGTTGATGCACCATAAAGTTCAGATGCTTCAGCATAAACATTACGAAATGGTACAACAGAATCTGAAATATTTTTACACACACACATATATATATATATTAAAATGAAAATTCAAAAAAAAAAACAAACCTGGTCCAAGAAATTGTTGTAATGGTGATGTTTGTTGTCGCAAAGCAGCAGCATCAAGTGAATTTAATAAAGGTGATTGCTGTTGTTGTTGATTAACAATAGTATTTGTTGTTACATTTGATGATGATGATGATGATGATGATGTTGATGATGTTGATGATGATGGAATAGATAATGCAATCGGTACTGGTACTGTTTGTTGAATAGATGTTGGACGATTTGATGATGATAATGTACCTGAAGTTTTTGTAGTTATAGAATCTCTACAAAATAAAATAATTAAGAAAAATAATAGTTATTAATCAAAAAAAGAATAAAATTTTACCGTTTTGATACTTTTTCATGTGTATGTGGATTTGAATTTGTTGATGATGAATTTTGTTGTCCAGTCATAATTGTATTAATATATGGATTATTAGTAATATGACTACTTGGACTACTACTACTTGTTGATGATGTTCGTGTAGATAATGGTGGAGAATTTGAAACAAGTGATGAAGCAAGTAAATTTGATGATGAATTTCCTGTTGGATTTGATGATAATGGTGCAAATAATGAAAATGGAAAATTTTGATGATGAGCAGCAGCTGCTGCTGCAGCAAATATACTACCATCTGGTGTAAGCATATGTGGAAATTGATGCATTATTGGTGATGGTACTGTTGGTGTTGGTTCAGTTTTAGGTGTTAATGAACGTTTATGACTTGATGTTTTTGATACTGTTGGTCGAATAATAACAGGTACAACAGGAGTTGTCGATGAACTTGTTGTTGTTGTTGTTGTTGTTGAATTATTTGCTGCTACTGTTGTTGTTGTTGTTGTTGTTTTTAATGGTGATGTCGAATGACAATGTGAATCAAATAAATTTGATGTTTCACTTGTTGCTGGTGTTGTTGTTGATGTTAAACAAGGTGTTTTCATAACATCACGTAATATATTTGGTATTGATGTTGATTTATTAGTACTAGTAGATGTTGATGATGATAAGGAATTTGTATCAACAATAGATGTTGTTGGTTCTGTTATGATACTAGTTGTTGTTGATAAACTTTTAGCAACATCATCAATAACTTCTTCAATATGTGTTCGTGTTGTTGTTGTTGTTGTTGGTACTGATGGTGGTTGTTTTTCTCCAGTAACATTTGATGATGAAACAATATTTGATACCATTGTTATTAAATCACTTTTTTGTGTTGGAATAGTTGAAATACTTGTTGTTGATGTTATTAATTGTCGTGTTTGTTGATCGGTTGGACTTGGTAATGATGCTACATATGAATAAACTGGTGTACTTATTGTTGGTGTTACACGTGCAGCACCTTTTATTGCTGGATGATCGCCGGATATATTTGAAGGATTATTATTAAGCATAAGAAGACTATTTACTGCACTTAATGTTTCTTCAACATTTTCATCTATGGAGAAAAAGAAAGACTTTGAATTATTTCGACAACAAAAAAAAAGAATAACATACTAAATGTTGATGTTAATGATGATTTAATTGGAACATGTGAAGATAATTTCGGAGTTGTTGTTATAGATGTTGGTTGATGTTCAACAATAGGTAATGTTTCTTTTGATATTGGTGCTATAATTGGTGATGATTTTTCTAGATTAGATGTTTTAGTTAATGATTGTTGAGGTATTTGAATAGATGAACATAATGCTTTAATAGCTATTTCAGTTTCAGTACTTGTTGTTGTTGTTGTTGTTGTTGTTGGTATTGTTGTTGTTGTTGTTGTTGTTGGCATTGTTGTTGTTGTTATTGGTGGTGGTGGTGGTGGTGGTGGTGGTGGTGATTGAGTTGATGTTATTATAGAAGATGATAATGGAATTTGTTCAGTTTCCATCGGTGTTATTTGTGGTTGATCAATAGTTGTTGTTGTTGTTGATGGTGGTGGTGGAGAAGGAATATCTTGTTTATTATTTTCAGATGATATTGTTGATTCAATAGTATCTTCTTTCGTTTGTATATTTGTTGTTGCTGTTGTTGTTTGTGAAAGATTTTCATTAGATTCAATTTTATTTTGTAATTGTACTGTTGAATCATCTGTACTTTTACGTAAACGTTTATCATTAATTGGAGACGATATAGATGAAGATTCTGTTGTTGATAAATGTTTTATATTTGTTGATATTGATACTGGTTGTTCTATAGATGATAATTGATTAGAATCTATTGATTCTGATTCTTTTTCATTTGATATTATAGATTGTATAATTTTAGAATTTGTTTTTGTTTGTTGACGTTTATTCGATGATGATGTATCTTGTTTTGATGTTCGTTTACTTTTACCTGTTGTTTTTGTTGTTGAACGAGATTGCATTGGTTTTATTCCTTCACGTATACGTGTACTAATTAAATCACTAAGTTGCATTGTTTCAGGATTAAGTGTTTCATCATCACTTAATGGTGGTTGTGTTGTTGTTATTGTTGGTGGTGGTTTTAACGTATTTGTATTTGATATTATTGGTTCATCTTTTATAGTTATATCATTATTATGTATAGATATTGATTCATTATCATTCTCCATATTTTCATCATCATTTTTTGATGTTTCAGTTGATTGTGTTTGAATAGATGATGATGATGGTGTTGTTGTTGAATGACGATGATGACTAGTAAATACAATACCAAATTTAGTTGGTGTTGTTGTTGTTTGAGATTGTATTTCTGTTGATGATTCATCAATTTTTGGTTCATTTGTTGATGTTTCATCGGATAATGATGTAGGAATAATTGAAGATTTAGTTGTTTGAGATATTTCTAATTCATTTGAAATTATGATTGATGGTGGTTGTTCTTCAATTGAAATTATTTTAGATTTTTCATCATCAAGTTTAAGTTTTTTAGTTGATTCATTTGATTCATCAGTTGATGGACGTTTTGATGTTGATATTGTTGTTTTCGATATTTTTGATGTTGATTTTATTGAATTTGCTGTTAATTTCTTTTTATCTATTGTCTTTGTTGTAGATAATTTCTTTTTTGTTGTTGTTATTGATTGTTCATCATTATTAATTTTAGATAATTTTTCTTTTTTTATGTGTTCACTATTTGTTTTTAATAAAGGTTTTTTTATTTGTTGTGTTTGTTGTTGTTGTTGTTGTTGTTGTTGATTTATTTTCTTTTTATGAATTATTGGTTTAGTTGGTTCATCACTTTCTTCAGCATCGAATACATTATTATCGAATGCAGTTGATATTTTAGTTTTAGCTTTTGAAGATCTATCAATTTCAGAATCGGATGAATCACTCATCATAACATTCTACAAAAATAAAGAATTTAAAAATAAAAAAAAATGAATATCTTATATTACATGTCGTTTTGGTGTAATATTGACTGGTCGAGTAGGCATTTGATCGTCGTCATCATCATTATCATCATCACTACTATCATCATCACTGTTTTCATCAGATAAATGACCTTCACTTGTTGATAATGAACTATGAAAAAATCAATATAAAAAATTCGTTATGTTTTTCAAAGAATTTCTAAAGTTTAAATTTTTTTGAATTAAAAGATTTATTTCGATTCAGAAGACTAATCGTTCTAAATCGTGACTAGATGCCATAGCTGGGAATCATTAGAAAAGAAATTATCAAGATCGGAACCAAGAATAACTTTGGTCTATGCTTTCAAAAATAAGTCTTCGCCATCACGAAATTTTAAATTCTCATTTCGGAAAAGAAAATCTCGATAAAACATAGACTCTGAACTCAATATAATTCTATAAGATAAAGAAATTCATTAAATTGACAATAATATTTATCTCATGTAAGCATAAACTAAAGCTAACAATAAACTTTTCTTTCCGTCTATTGACATAAACACACATCTTTCATTTGTATTTCATTAAATAAAAACATCAAGCCATACCTATGTCGTGTTTGTTCACTTCTTGCTCGTTTTTTAATTCTATCATACATACTAGTATCTTGTTTTAATAATTCTCTCCAATTATTATGATTTTGTGTTGATTTTAATTTATTTTTATTTGTTATTTTCGTTCGTTTATTAATTATTATTTCTTTTTTAATTTTTTCATCATTATCTGTTGATGTTTGTTCATGATCAGAATTTATAATTGTTTGTTCAAGTTTTTTTTCATCATTATCTGATGCTGATGAATGTATTTCTGTAATTGTTTGTTTTTTATTTGTATTTGTTGAAATTTTATTTTTAGTTTTAATTAATTGATTTTTATTTTTTGTTGTTATTATTTTTTGTTGATGTTGTTGTTTACGTTTTGTTATTTCATTATTTAATAAAGATTTTTTTGTTTTATGTTGTATATCAATTGATTTTTTTTCTGTATCACTATCACTTTGAATAATATGTGTACGTTTTAATTTCAAAGATTTATTTATAGATTTTTCAATTGATCCAGTTGTTGTTGTTTTTAAAGTTTTTGGATCTATACGTTCAAGTGTTAATTGTGGAACTTTTGAACCAAGTGTTGGAACATGTGTTTGTTTAGTAGTTTTAATTATTTTTGTTGTAGATTTTATGGATTCATTTACATTTGGTTTTGTGGTTGTTGTTGTTGTTGTTGTTGTTGATATTGCTGAAGATTTTTTTGGAATTTTATCTAATGTTGGTTTTTTTGTATCATTTGATAATGTTTGTTTTGTTGTTTGTGGTGGTGTACGCCATGTAGATTTTTTTTCATCTGTTTGACGTTCATCAATATCATTTGTAAATATATTTGTATCTTGTTGATTAAGAGATTTTTTCTTTTCATTTGTTATTATTGTTGGTGTTGTTGGTGTTGTTGGTGGTGTACGTTTTGTTGTTGATTCAATTGATGTTGAACGATTATTTATTTGTGATGTTGAACGTATTTCATTTGATGCTAATGGTGATACATAATTAGTTGATGATTTACGTTCATTTGTTGGTGATAATGATGATGTTGGTGATGGATTTGATAATGAACGTTGTTTTAATATTGATTTTAAACCAATAGATGTTTGATGTTGAAGTACAGGTGATGATATTGTTACTGGTGAATGATGTATATTTGTTCCTGTATTTGTTGGTGTTGTTGATTCAGGTGATGGTAAAATAGGTGAATCTTTAATATTTGTTGATGTTGTATTAACAGCTAATGGTGGTGGAATTGGTTTACGTTTAACTTTAGCTGATGGACCAAGACGTTCAAGAATTTTAGCTGATGATGTACTTGGAGAATTTATTGACGAATCTGGAAATGATGATATAGATGAAATATTAGATGCTGGTGGACTTAAAAGATTTGTTGAATTCGAACGACTAGGTAATGATGATGATGATGGAGGACAATTTAATGTTGGAATTAGATTATTATTTGATGATGGTGTATTATGTGTTGATGTAGGATTTAGATTAAGTGATGGTGATATGAGTGAAGCTGGCACCGGTGGTGGTGGAGGATGAAGTGTAGTAGCAAATGACCTAAAGCAAAACAAAAACACAATAATTTTTTTTTTTTTGAGATTAATTATTTCAAATGAAATTTTACATTGAATTATATTTTGTTGCAAATGGTGTTTGAGCAATAGCAGCATGAAATGTTGTTAATATTGAATTTGATGATGGATCTGGTAAACGTTGTAAACTTGTAAATGGTGGTGGAGGTGGAGGTGGTGGCGGTGGTGGTGTTAATACTGATATATTTGTTGGTGATGGTGATGTAACAGAAATACTTCGATGATTTAAATTTAATGTTGGTATAGATGTAATTGGATAATGAAATGGTGATGTTGTTGATATAGTTGGTGTTGTTTTTGATGGTGATATTGTTTGTGTTGGTTGTGCATTTAATGCAGCAGCACGTGCTGCTTGTATACATTGTGCAAGTGTTGTTGATGGTGTTGATGCTGAAAGTGTTGATACAAGTTCATTAACACTTTTAGCTGTTGCATTTGTATTTGTTATTGTTGATGATGATGTTAGTGTTGTTGTTGTTGATGTTGTTGTTGGTGTTGTTGTTATTACTGGTTTTAAATTTTGTTGTTCAATAAGTATAGCTGGTGATAATGATGAACTTGATGACGAAGATGATGATGATGTTGTTGTTGATTTTTGTTGTTGTCCATGATTCATTTCATACATTTGTTTATCTAATAATCTAATACGTTCATCAAGTGGTATACGTGTTGTTGATAAATCTTCATCATTATTATTATTAATATTAAGAAGATTTGTATCCATAGATAGATCATATTTTGTTGTTATTGTTGATGTTAATGTATTTGTTGGTATTGATGATGATGATGATGGATTATTTAAACCAAGTGATGAATGTTTTAAATGTGCTTTTGGATTAAGTACAACAAGAACATTTGATGATGTTGTTGAAGTTTTAACTTGTTCAAATGCAAATTGTGGAAATGGTAAACGTATTGATTCAATATGATCATTAAATAATGATGGATAACTTCTTAAACGTACATCTAATTGATCATATGATGATATTGTTTCAAGTGGAATTGTTTTTGTATGATTTGTTGATAAATGATATTTTGTTTTATGTAAACGACGATGATTTGTATGATTATCATACTCATCTTTTATTATCGTTGTTGTTGTTGGTGGTGGTGGTGTTGTTAATGTTTGTGTTGGTGATAAATGAATATCATTTGTTATTATATTATCAATTTGTTCATCACGTTTATTACCTGTACGTATTGGTTGTAAACGATATGCTGATGTTAATAAAGATTTTTCATTTTTAGAATTTTTTATTAATGTTGATGATGATGATTTCATATTTGTTGTTAATATTAAATTATTTGTTTCAATAGGTGGTGATGTTTTTGATGTTTGTTCATCACTAACATTTTCAAGACTATCATCATCTGGTTTTGGTTTTAATGTATGTTCATCATCATCATTTTGATCTAAGCCCATTGAACTATTACTATCATGTAAATGATTTTGCATAAGCCAATCAAAAACACGTTCAGTATTTTTTAATGGTGCTTTTGGTGATGATGATGAATGAATTGTTGTTGTTGTTTGTTGTTTTGGTAATTGTGATGATGATAATGGTGGTGGTGGTGGTTGTGGTGGTGTTGTTGAATCTTTTTTTATTGTTTCAAATTGATCTTCAAGTGTTAAACTTGGAAGAATAACTGGATTTGGTTGTTGTTGAGATGTTGGAATGATTATTGATGAATCATTATCTTTTTCTGATTTAATTGATCTTGAACGATTTGATGATGATTTAATTGTATGTTCTTTATTTGATGAAGATTTTTTTCCTGATGAAATTTTTATATTATTATTATTTATTGAAGATTTTGATGGTTTTTTTGATGATTTATGTGTATGTTTATTTGTATGATGTTTTTGATGTGAATTTGAATGATGTTCAAGACTATTTGTACTTGTTGAACTATGACTTGATGTTGATGATGATCTTGAAGATGAAGATGATGTTGATGATGCATGATGACGAATATGACTACTACGATGAGGATTTCGACCGGATGAGAGATTATTTGAAACTAATACAAAAAGGAAATTTGAATTTTTCTCTCTTCAAAAATTAATGTAAAAAAAAAAGAATATTAATTAACATACGACTATCTTTTGATGAAGTTGATAAACGATGTCGTCGAGCATTTAATGATGAACCACAAATTGTTCCATTATCAACTATTTAGAAAACAAAAAAAATTTGATAAATTTATTTTCAATAACAAAAAATCTACCTGATGGAATGGATATTAATGTACTATTTGTTCCTTTACCATATTCTTTTGAATGTCGACTAAATATAAAAATAAATAAATAATGAATTATTTATATGTATAAAAATAAAAAAAACTTTAATTACCGATCAGATGAATGTCTTGAATCACCTTTATGTTGCGATCGATTACTATTATTATATGCATTGGACCATCGATCACTACTATTTGTTCGCGTAGATGCTGTATCAAATGTTTGAATTGTTTCAGGAACAATTTCACGTGTTGTACCGTTACGTTTTGATCTAAAAAGAAAATTATTTTCAATTGAAATTTATCATAACAACAAAAACATATATATATATATATTCTTTACATACACAACTCGAGATTCTGCATGATAAGTTGCATCAGGTGGATAACCACCATAACTAAAAAAAAAAAAAGCAAAAATCGAATGTTGAAACTTGAAAATAAAACAATATTCTCATTACTTTTTTTTATGACTAGTTTCTTCAATAATATCCGAAAATCTTGTAACAAATACTTTACTAGCAAAATCTATTTGTATTCTTTTTGAATCAAGTCTTTTTCCACGTATTGAATTAATAGCTTCTTGTGCAACACGAGTTTCAGTAAAATAAATTAAACATTGTGCTGTTTGACTTTTATGACTGTTACGATTATCAATAAATATATCAACAACATCACAAGTCAATAAATTTGTATTACGACTTATAAAAGTACGTATTGAAGATTCTGTTACATTTAATGGTAAATCATCAAGCCAAAGTACATTTGTTGGTTGACTTTTACCAAATCCCAACTTAATAAAAAAGAAAAAAAAAGAAAATTATTGACTAATAAAAAAAATTTTATTTTTAGACTTTCTTTTTTCTTTTAATTGTCAATAATCTATGTTTAATTAACCAAAAATAGAATAATTATTAATGATAAAATTCTCAAGATTTTGTTTTAAATTTTTAAAAATTTTATATTACAATAAATACGAAGTATTTTTCATTATTAAATTTAATAATCAATTTTTTCTTATGAAGGAATTACTCTAACTGATATCCGTTGTTTGAGCTCATATTAGACTTACAAGTAGATCTCAGTAAGAATAATAAAAGTCTAAAAGGATTCATTTCGATAGGTCTTTAGTGCCGAGTTATGACCGAGATTTTTTTTTAACTCTCCAGAAGACTGAATAACAGAGTTTTGCTCGAAAATTTTAAATCTAATATCTCTTAGAATATTCTGAAGATTTCAGCCGAACAAAAAATGTTTCATTGTTGAGTTATTGAATTTTTGTGATAAAGAATTATTTTTAGAAATTCAATATTTTGATTTTTTTTTTGACTGAAATATTCAAAATACTTTAAAAACATTAGATCTATCCTATATGCAAAATTCTATCAATTGACTTTGTTCAAAATCATTTACACATGAATTCCAAGTCTAACTAAACCAATCATAGTTCAATGACAAAGGTTCATGAGGATGAACCCTTTTTGACTTTTGTTAGTTTCACTCAGACCTATCTTTGAATCTCAAATAGTGGGTATTATAATTCAAATAATCCTCTTATTAGATTATTATACATCGACGTAATATTCGATATAATCTTTTTTTAATAAAATCTATTCAACAAAAAAAAAACAAAACTCCAAAAATATAAAAATTTTATTTATGATTGAAGATTTTTCGATTATCCTAAAAGATAAAAAAAAACTGATATATTTATATATATATATACTTTAATTGAATGATCTCGTGAAAGCTTTGAATCAAAAGCTTTCATTGCTTTAACAACACTTTTAATATCAGCATATTGTACAAATGCAAATGGTAATTGATGTGGAGATTGTGTTTGACGTTTTATTTCAAGTTCCTTTTTTTGTTTGATAAAAAATAAAATCATTTTCATTTTCGAAAAAAAAAATCTATATTTATATACATACAATAATATCACCATATGCTGAATATGTTTCACGTAATTCATTATAAGATATTTCTGATTGAAGATTTCCTATATATAAAGTACGTGTTGCTTTTATAGAATATTCATCAATATCAGGATCTGAACATATTGTACGTTTCATTATATCACATTCATCATTTTCTAAAGTAAAAAAAAATTTTTTTTTTCTATGAATCGAACTTTTTCTTCTTTTTTTTTCAATTTTTACCATTTATAATTCCATCGTATGGTTCAGCTTTTAATCTAACACCATATAAAGTTTTTGCTATTGCAAATGTTAATGCTTTATCAACATCATCAGATTTTTTAAATGTTAATAAAGCATAACGTGATTCATGTTCACCATCAATTTTAACTGTTAATAAACGACCTGATTTTTTAAAATCAACAAATAAATTCCATAGTGATTCGCGTAATGATTCTTCTACAAAATACACACATACACACACTTTCAAATTTATTTTGTATCAAAAAACATACTAGAAGTTTTTGATGGTAAATGATAAATTTTTAATATTTTTGTTTTACCCATTCCATCATTTAATGATGAATGAGTTTTAGTTGGATTACGACGACGATTTTTACATGAAATACTTAAATAAGAAGATTTAAATTATTTAAAAAAAAACAAAAAACTTGAAAATAATATACCTATCATCACTCGATCTTTCGGATTCTGATGATGATGATGAAGATGATGATGATGGTGATGAATTTTCATGTTTTCGACGTGGTGGTTTTTGTATTGTTGAATGTGAACTATTTGTTGTTCTAATAAAATATTAACAAATGAATAAATTTATCTTTGTTTTTTTTCTTTTGTAATCAAAACGTACTTTGAATTTTTTGTCGACGATGTTTTTCTCTTACTTCCTGATGAATCAGAATCACGTTTAACAGGTACAACTTGATGTCTAATAGAATAATAAATAAAAATCATAATTCAATACTTTTCATATATAGTTGTTCTCTTTGAAAAGAAAAAAAAATGTCAAAAACACATATTTCCTCTTCTTTTTTTTTTTTTTTTGTTTTGTTTTGTTGTGTTATTGTTTTTTTTTCTATTTATTGTTGTATTAAGTAAAAACAAAAAGAAAAAATGCTGCATCGTTTTTGTATTAACCTTATCGCGCTACAAATATCAATTACTTTTATTCAATATTCTCTTTCAAATACACAAGTAAGTTGACTCATATACATGCATGGATGTATGCATACATAAAACTCAAGTTCAAGGATAATATGATGACTGTTGCGCCGATTACAATGCTGTAGAGAACAAAAGAAAAAAAAAATTGTTGAAGGACATTAAATTAACATCATAGAAATATATATATATATATAAATGATCTAGGGTTATATACGAATGGTTAAATATTTCAAAGAGAAAACATATTGAGTCTATTTTTAATTCTTCTTTAGATAATGATCCTTTCAAAAAAAAGAAAAAAAAAAAGAAAAATCTGTTACAACATCAATATATCTCAGAAAAAGCAAAAGAAAATAAAATGTAAAAAAAAACAAAAAAAGGAAATTTTCTTACCGAACATTTTCATCAGGACTATCAAGTGTACGTGATATACGTTTATCTCGATCACCATTTATCGTTTTAGACGATAATGAATTTGTCACTGTTGTTATATTTGATGTATTTGAAGACGAAGATGATGATGATGATGGTTCAACAATTGTCGAAGAAATCAATGGTGATGGTTGTTCAGATAATATTATATTTGAAGTTGACAATGGTTGAATTAATTGTGGACAAGGTTCTAATAATGCTTTTGGTACAGAATTAGAACCATCATGAAATGCTGTTCGTAAACGTTTTTCATCGAGAATATTTTCAGCATTATGTGCTTTTGATGCTGTACGTACATCCAAAAAAGCAACAAATGCAAAACGTTGATCATCAATTCTAACTGATTGAACACGGCCATGTCTAGACATAAATAATAATAATAATAATAATAAGAAAAATTTATTAATTTCCTTAAAAATAAAAAAATTCTATTGGAAAACTTTTTTTTTTGTACCGTTTAAAACATTCTTTGATTGTATCTTCAGTAGCCGTTTCAGGTAAATTAGCTATAGCCAACCATCTTGATTCTGTTGGTTTTGTGGATAATGATACTTTGTTAGTCGTGGTTTCACTGGGCATGGCAAAAATTCATTCGATATACAATAATGAAAATATGTACAAGTTGAAAAATGTTAATCATATACAGACACACACACAATAATTTGTCAAACAAGGAAACAAAAAAAAAAAATATTTCGAAATTTTTAAGGTCAGAACAATGGTGGCGATATTCGTCGCCGTTGACGTGGGATGATGATGAACATTGTTGTTGTTGCCAGCATCTACATTGAAAAGAAGAACGAACGGGCGAGAGAGAGAGAGAAAAAGAAGAAGAAGAAGAAGAAAAAGAAAAAAAAAGAAAAACCGAGCCACCTTACATTACATTTCTTTTCTCTATAGCATTCTTTCCCCTCTTTCTCTTGCTTTTTCTTCTCCATCCATTTTACACTACAGAGAGTGCAACAGTGCGCGCGCGCGCTCGCGCTTCAAACTATCGTCGTCGACGGCTATAGCGGTCGGAGCGACGATCGTATGTTGTATTGTCGGGCAATGATGATGATGACGATGATGATGATGATGGTAGTAGTGGGAGAGCAAACGTATGCGCACAGCTTTACATATACTTAAAATAATAATGGCACATCAACATGGTACAGATTCTAATCAACATTAGTATTTTCTTTTTATTTCATTTGCAAATTTTCCTATCAGTTTCTTTTTCTTTTTCTTTTACTTTCTTTGACACAGACATAGAACCATCGTATATATATATATATATATATGCTCAAGTATTTATTTTGTTGTTTTTATTTTGCTTATGAAATGAAGACTAATAATAATAATAACAACAATATCAACAATAAAGAAAAAAAGAACCATGAAAATGATAGTGGCCTCTATATTTGAGAATCTTATTAAGATAAGGGAACACAGAAGATAGAGTATGGGGGGAAAAGAGAGAGAGAGAGTGGAGAAAAAAAAGGTGAATACATAAAAAGTCCGTCCGCCAATTAGACGTGGCGTTTGCAGCGGCGTCGACAAAGAAGACGACTAGCTAACTTTTTTTTCTTTTTGTTCTTCCTATCGTCATTGTATGTATGCAGCAGCCCGAATGTTGTGTATTTCAGGGGGTATATGTTGGCCCGTCTACACACAATCGCTTATTCGCTCGCTTGCATGCACATACTACTTTTATTAATGGAGTCTCTCCCCTTTTTCTCTGTCTCTGTCTCTCTCTCTTATTGCGCAGCACATTTGTTCCTTTTTATTTTAAAGCATTTGGCAGCGTCGTTGTCGTCGTCGAAGCTTCTCGAATGCAAGATTAGATTACAAGCATGTATATATGGGGAAGTAAGCAAACAAACGGCAAGAGACGAGAAGAAAAAAAAGAAAATCTTATTTTTTTTTCTTACTCTCCCTCTCTCTCTCTCTCTCTCTCTTTTTCTCATTTTCTTCAACTACACCATACAAAGCGGGCATATATCGGTTGTTTCTCACTCGCTCGCATATATTCAAGCATCGACGACGACGACCATCGAGCTTTAATGTCTTTCCTTTTGTCTCTCTTCTTTCTTTCTTGTTCGTTTGGTCGTCATCGAGTAATATGAGGTTCATATACTATCATCGTTCATGTAGTTGATGCTGTTACTACTACTCAACAAACAACGTCATATATCTTTCTATATATATATATAATAATATACGCTTGCATACATTATTCTCGCATTTCGATTTTCCCATCGTTTCAAATCGTCGATATATATGTATATATATATATATATATATATATATAAATTGGGCTTGTGTTGTTTTGTAGTCGTCGTGTTTTTTTTGTTTATAATAACGTCATTTCGTCCGTCGCAACTACTTCTAATACTACTTATGTCGTCTTTCCATTCCTAGTTTTTAGGCATTAATTGTTTCCTCATTGGATTTATGCGTATCTGTCGATGCTATTAAATTAGTGGGAAAATAATATTTTGTCTTAGGAGTTTTAAACAACGACGATATTTTTGTTTTGATGATTTCATCTTTTTTTGTTTATGTTGAATTTTAGCATTTTTTTCCGCTTTCGGCATTTGTTTCATATGCAATTATTGGTTTGGAAACAAAAGAAATTCCTGTTTTATGTGTATAAATATATATATATTTATAGATATATACAAAGATAGCATTAAAAGCATATAAAGGAAAAGCAATGAATCGAGAGACAAAAAAAAAAACCGAGAAAAAAAAAACAATGAAGAAAGAATGCATATGGCTTCCATTTTTGTGCTAAAGAATAAAAAATTTCTATAGATTGTGTAGGTGGAAAGGGAATCTGCTTGATGCCGAAATAATGGAAAAAAAAAAGAGGAACTAAGTGCAAAGAAGAGAAAGACTGATTATATATAGTTTTTTCTTTTTCTGCTTTCTTTTTTCATTGGCTGTAGGGCAAGGGTATAGAATATATAATAGAACCTTTTGGCATAGTGCCATCAATGTTGATGATGTCTTTTACGACGCTATTTTTTTCTTACCCCACGCATCAACCTGTGTCCTTGCAAATGTCTAGGCAATCATTTATGCTATTTTTTTTTGCTCTTACTTGCCCTTATTTTATTTGGAGAAGAATCGGGAAAAAAAAAACTATGGGTGCTCAAAAGCAATTAGAAATGTTTATGAAAAAATTCTTTTGATAATAATAATAAAAAATAAAATACGATAAAACAAGAGAGTGAGAGAGAAAAAAAAAAAGAAAGCAAACCTTCAGAAACAATTAAGCTGATTATAATAAAAATAGACATTTTTTTACATTGATAAATATATTTCTTTTATATTTCGTGCTTATTTTGCAATAACATTAATATCACATTTTTCTTTTATGCGTATATACAAATAAAAATAGCATAGACAAAAAAGCGATACGAAAAAAAAAAAAATTAAAATGAAATTCGTATACAAGAAACAAAAACAAAGAAAAAAAAACGTAATAAATATAAAGAGATTTAAAATTTTCGCTGTAAATTGTTTATATCACCAAATATTTAAATAAGAACTCCAAGAAGATGAATTAACATCATTAGTCATATGTCGATTCAATGATTCATTATTTGTTGAATTTTCATCGATTGTTATTGTTGTTGATAAATTTGCAACACGAACAAGTTGTGCTTGTTCATCTGGACTTAATTTAAGCATTGTAACAAGTACAGGTATTAATTGTAAACGTTCATGTGTAGATTTTAAAATGAAAAATTTTAAAATAATATTTTTTAAATATTCTAAATTTGATATTGATTCAGCACGATCCATATTACGTTCAAGACGTCGTATTTCATCTTTAAGTAATTTAATTTGTTCATTTAAACGTATATTATTTAATTCAGATTCTTGTAAAAGTTCTTTTGTATCAAATAAAATTAATTTTGTTTTATTTAATTCATCTTCTGAATGTTGTCGTTCTAATTGAATATATTCATATATATTATCACGTGATTTATCATTTAATGACGATTGAGTATTAGTAGTAGTATTATTTTCAATAGTACTACTACTATTAATATCATGTAGAATATTATCAGATATTTTCATAGTAATATTTGACGATTGATGATTAATATTAGTCGATTCAGGCTTCTGAAATAATTAAAAATTATATTGACAAATGTTTCAAATAGAATTATAATTACAACACACAAAAAACAAAATGAGATGATCTATTCATCTCTAGAGAATTTTTTATATTTCCAATGTAACATAAACCAATGATCGATAATGACCTAGATATAAAATACTGTTCGATCATTATATGAAGTATGGGAAAGTTTCTTTTTTTTTTCGTTTTCTAATTCATTTGACAGAAAATATCATTAGAATGGTGATGTTTGATTAAAGTTATGAAATATTCAAGATATAAAAAGTGAATTATTAATAGAAATTAACAAGGGATAAAATGGTAGAAAATGTTTACTTCTCCTTGTTGACGTTCATCAGTACTGCATGCAAGGGTATCATCTCTATTACAATGATTATTTATACCGATATGTGATGATTCAGGATTTGATGTTGAATTTTCATTATTATCAATATTTGTTTGTTGTAATAATTCAATATGAATTTTTAATTGTTGAATTTCTTGTCGAGAAATTTCTAAATCATTTTGTGATATCGATATTGTATGTTTATGATCAGATTCCATAGTAGAAATTTGTTCCTA